GACCTCGGGCGTCCTCTCTCTCTCTCTCTCTCTCTCTCCCAGTGAGCTGGCCTGGCCCGTTGTGCCAAGGTGGAGGATTTGGCTGGTTGGGCCCGTCCGTCCGGCTGCAACAGCGAGTCACACCAGCACGCACCCACGCCCCTTCGCCTTCGCCCCGGCCTGCCAACAGCAAGGGCTTGGGCGGGCTGGCTTACACGCGGAAATCCTCCCGAGTCAGCCCCGCCTGCCCGGGCCAGGCCAGCCAAGCCTGCCTATCGATCTGCAGGCCGCGCCAGCCAGGCATCTGCAACGAAGGCGTGCTTTCGCGGACAAAGAAAAAAAAAACCCTCGACGGATCCGAAGCCGGACCCCAACCCGCCAGCCAGCCCGCCCGCCCGCAACAACTGCCGTCTTCCGAGACGATCAGCAGCTTACCCTGGTCACCCACGTGGCGCCGCTCACCTATTCGCTCAGCATCTGCCCGGCCCTGCCCTGCCCCGCTCTGCTCTGCTCTACCCCCCTCCGCTCGCCATCGGCCGCGTAGTCAGTCTATCTTCTCGTCGTCGTCGTCGTCGCAATCTTCGTCGCCGCAATCATTGTTCATTGTCTAGTAATACAGAGTGCATGCCGTGCCAAATGGATGCTCGATCAGTCGTCGAGGCAAGTTAGCGAGTGCGGTCGTAGGAAGGTAGCGGCCGACCCGCTCAGAGAAGGGCCAAGCACCGAGAGGAAAACCCGGTGTCTAGGCCCACTTGCCGACTGTGAAGCAGAGCCCCATCGAGAGGCAGGAAAGAAAGTCGAAAGCGGATGGGGATGGCAGCGTCAGCACGTCTCGGTCCAGGCTTCCACGTCGGCAGTCCGGGCAGCGACGCCGCTGCGGCGCACTCACGCAGGCTCATCACGGCCGCGCCGACCAGGAGGGCAGCGAGGGCGACGCCCAGGCGCCGGTTGCTGGCGTCGAGCATGGGTCCAAACAGGAAATCCTTGGCCAGCATATCGACCAGCGCGCCGTACAGCAGCACGCCCGCCGACAGCGAGTCGAGCACGCCAATCGCGATAATCGTCGTCGGGTCGTTGGGCTCAAACACGGTGCGCACTCCCGTACCCAGCGCGATGCCCACCGGCGTCACAAACGCGTACGCCACTGCCGGGCGCGAGAGGAGTCGAGCGACGAGGAGTCGGCAGCCGAGAGAGGTCAGCGACGGGTCGTGCAAGGTTCAGCCCACGAGACTGACGAGCGCAGTCAGACCCCGCTCGGGTGGGCACTCACGGAACATGGCAATCTGCTTCTTGCGCTTGCCTTGAAAGTTGAGCTCGGCCATCCTCGTACCGATAGCTGCAGTGCGTGGCGACGACAACAAGCACCACAGGTGTCAGCGATGTCTACTCTGCGGCCGCCCGCTGATCGCAGCAGGCAGAGATACTTCGATGCGCCCGTCGGGGACTCACCGAACCCATCAAACATCTGGTGGAAGACGATGGCGACAAAGTACGGCACAAAGCCCGCGTCGGACGACGTGCCCAGGCCGAGGCCGACCATGACGCTGTGGAAGACGATGCCGCCCTCGATGACCATGACGTCGAGCTCCTTGGCCCTCTCTGCCAGCTTGGCGTCGGCCTCCCGCTCCTCCTCGTCCAGCAGCTCCTCCCTCCGCAGCCTCTCGCCCAGGATGACGGCATCGACCGCCTTTTCCTCCATCGTCACCGCAGCCGCCGTCGCCGTCGTCTTGCCGGAACCAGGGCCGGGACTGGCCTGCGCCTGGTTTGGCAACGACGACGGCGCATTCTCGCCCGTGGCGAGCGAGTCGGTGGGTCGGATCGAGTTGAGGGTGAGCGACTCGAGCTGCGCCTTTGCCCTCGCCCTGCGCGCCTTGAGCTCGGCCATGTCCTTCTTGGAGCGGTGGATGTGGCGCATGAGGAGCAGGTCGACGACAAAGATGAGGAACAGCGAGGCCATCGAGATGGCGGGCGCCGTGGGCGCGTAGGCGAGGTGGATGCAGGGCGAGGTGAGCTGGATAAAGGCCTCGTAGGTCAGGTGGACAAAGGCCGTGGCCAGGATGACGCCGGCGCCCAGGTACTTGCTGATGAAGAAGCACTCGTCCCACCAACCGTTGGGCGTCGAAGAGCCGTGGCAGTGGCCGTGGCCGTGCGAGTGCGAGTGGCTATGGCCGTGCCCGTGGGACGACTGCTGCTGCTCCTCCTCGCCCCGGCTGTTTGGCGAGGTACGGCGGCCCACCCTGCCTTTGGTCCACTGGGGCACAAAGGGCAGCGTAATGCCAATGGAGCTCGAGACAAAGACGACAAAGATGGCGGCAATGTGCAGGCCGAGGGTGTAGGAGCCCTTGCCGGCCAAGCTGAGCGAGCAGCGGTCGACGTTGCCGGCCTCGTCCGGCCTGCCGTTGACGGCGAGCGCAGGCCGTGCCAGGGCGAGGATGAGGAGCAGGGCGGCCGCTGGAGTGGTCGCCATGGTTGCGGAACGTCGTTGTTGCCGTTGTCGTCTTTGTTGTCGCGGTGGTGGTGGTGGTGGTGACTGCGTCTGCTGGGTGCTGCAAAGGGAGGGTCGTTCTGAACGCTGCGTCGCTGTCGCTGCTGCCGCTGGTGGGTGTATCGGCGGCTGTAGGCTGGAAGGGCAGCGTCTATTTGAGCAGGCGTTGCAGACCCAACTGCGGGCCATGGTGTTTGAGAAGGAGCGGTGCAGAAGCTGAGGACTCGAGTGTGGAAGAGTAGCAGCGTGTCAGGTGCGAGCGTGATGCCAGAAGAGCTGAAGAAGATGTTGCCAGCCTGGCGGGCGGTTCGACTCGAGCGTGGTTCTGCGAGCTTTGCCCGGTGTGCGGGTACGAGGAGGCTCGCGGCCAGTGTGAGAAGGTGGTAGCGGGCGACAAGCTAGGATGCTGTGCCGGTGCCAGGGTATCGGCGGTCGGGGCGTAGGTGTCAGTGTTGTCGACGGTGATGGTGGTGGTGGTGGTGGTGGTTGTTGACGGTGGTGATGGCCAGGAGGATGCGACGGTGCGACGGCGGATGATGTTTCCCATTCAGCCAGGCAGCAGCTAGGTGTCGGGCGCGATGGTCATCCTACGACGGCAGGAGAGGGCGGGGTGAGGGCAAAGTGGTACGGGAACGAGTACGGGTACGGGTAGGGGTAGGTGGTGCAACGGCAGCAGCGCCGACGCAACGCAACGTTTCGGCTCTCTCCTTCGGGCCAGGTCGGAAGCTGAGGCAGGGGGGGCGACCAAGCAGCTGACATCGAGGCCCAGGCTGCGCGAGGAAAAACGTCAGCAGCCCTGCCTGCCCTTGCCTGCGTCTTGGCACGACCCACGTCTTTGCTGATCTGCGACGACAGGCCAGGAGGGCCACCTGGCAACTTGACTGGCAATCAACCAGAGCCCCAGTCCCCTCCTGCCTCTCCTGGCCAAGGCGACAAGGGGGGAGAATCCAAAAACCACGTCTCAAAATTCCACCCGCAAAGGGGTCGCCGGGCTGAGAGGCGAGGCGAGGCGAGGAGAGGCGAGGCCAAGCCTTCGACGGTCGGTGGGACGACGTGCAAAAGCCGCCTGATTTCCTGCCCTGCCCCAGCGGAGCAGTCTAAGAGTCTGTCGAACGAGGCAGGTGGGCACGCGCAAGGCAGCGATCCTCATCCCTCTCCACCTGCGGGCCAGCAAGCAGATGCCACGACACGAGCACACGTGCCGAGCGACATCGACGCTGCTGTGCGTGCTCGTCGAGAGAGGCAGGCAGGCAGGCAGGCAGGCAGGCAGGCAGGCAGGCAAGGTCGATCGACACCGTTTCGTCGACGTCGGCTCGTGGTGAAAAGAAAAGCTTTCTAGGCACTCGGCCTGTACTCATTTTGGGGGAAAAGGGGAGAGACGGGAGGAGGAGGGTTGTGAGGTAGATTTACACCGGACACGGAGGGGAGGAGGAGGAAGAGGAGAGGAGGGAGGAACGGCGACGGCGAGGGCGACGGCGACGGCAAGGGACAACCGGGCGACTGCAACGGCAAGGGTGCCGTCGTTCGACGACACCATCATCACCGTGCGACGCCGCCGTTGCACCCACCGACCGACCGACCGACCGACGACGGTCACGTCAGCCTCGTCGAGCACCCCGTG